GCCAAGATATGGAAACAGTTACACACAAAAAGTTCCATTGGGGCTTCCAAATCTTTCCACATGTTCCCTATCTCTAATAGATGGGAACCGTCTGAGGCATTGATGATGGCATCCGATTGGAGCCCTTCAACATGCGCCGCGAGATGCGCGAGGGCCACTTCGATGAGAGTGGCTTCTATGTGCTCAACAAGGTGGGTTAAGTGCGTGTTCAGCTTGTTATGGAGATGGTTCGGGGCATTCGCCCTCCGCTTGAAAGCGGCGTAGGGAATCCGCTTCAACCAGCTAGTTTTTGGGGACCACCAACTTACCATCATTTCTGGGCGTTGTCACCTGGAAAGACTTCCTGCAGGGCAATCCAGGTAGTGCAGAATGCAAACAAAGGAAGCTGAAACTGTTGTAGTTCGAAGTCATTCAAACGGCACATGGTTTGCAAGCGAATTTTTGGTCATGGACCCTAGGGCTCCAAGTAATTACATCCTCAGAAGGTATTGGACCCTCCTGGCACCCACCCCAGTCCCACCATTCTCAGAAGGTACGACTGGAGCCCTAGGGTGGATGCACACCAACCCCCGTTAGCCATTCAACGAAAACACCCAACGGTCCGCGTCCGCTCCCTTCGTCCGCGCCCAGGACGAGGAGAAGAAGGTGACCGACGCCTGGCTGGACACCGTGGATCAGGCCGAGCGCACGGCGACCTTCAAGGCCGCGGAGAAGCAGAACAAGGCGACCGCATGACGCGGCCCCGACCCGAGGGCGCGCGGAGCGGAGGAGAGTGGGGGGGGTGATCCGACGCTTTGGAGTGGGTGGCTCGGGCCGATTGGGAGACTCTGGAGAACTCAAAGACGGTGTTGGGTACCAGGGGTATGTGTTTTGGTCTATATAGTTTACTTGCATGTACTTCCTCCAGGCAAGTGTATTTCCAAATGGCGGGTGATGTGTTCTTTGTTGAGTTTGGGGATTTGTTTTGTTTGGATCTGCTTCTTATTGCTTTTCTTCTCTTTCCCTTGCTTCTCTATGACCTCTTGCCTGTTCTGCTTTTCTTGCATTTCCTTGCTTCCCATTGCTTTTCTGTGGTTGCTCCCGCTTTTCTTGCCTAATTTGTTTGTCTATGCTTGTTTTGCTCTTCCTTGCTTTTCATTGCTTCTTTGTGAATGTGTGTTTTGGGATATATTCTCTTCCTGCTCTCTTTGCGCTTGGTTTGTGATTTTCTCCTTTACTTTCCTTCTTCTTGTATTTTTTAGTGGCGCATTGACTACCTGTGGCTTTTTCTTTCTATGGTTTTGGTTGCTTTCACTTTTGGTATAAGTCGGTTTTCAATCTTTGAGTTAGTGTTGCTTTATGCTTGCTTTTCCGGCTTTGTATGCTTTTCCCACTCTTTGTTTTCTGCTCCACTGGTGGTTGTGTTTCAGTTCACCTTATATAAGGAGCAACCCCAAGGGCATCATATGAACGACACTGTTTCATTCTGGGAACATCTATAAGGTAGTATAGCTTAGATGGGGCTGAGTCCCAGTAACAGTTCAACAAGGGATTTTTATTGAGTGTGTTCATGAAAACGAGCACCAGCGAATTGCTGGAAATGGCTCTTGGTTTTGGGACATTTTGGTCGATGAATTGCTGGGGTTGACCCAGATTGAAAATTTAGATCTCACCATGATCAGAATCATACCTCACTTCACCCATCCCCTGCCCCATACCCAGTGCCCTTCTGTAAGGTGTGTATGTGTGTGTGTGCCTTGCAAATGATATAAGATGGTGAATGCTTGTCTTGCTTGTCCACCACTGTCAAAGGTCATGGTGGGGTGATTTGACGAATTCGAGCACCAGATTTGACGAATTCGAGCACCAGATTTGCCGAATTCGAGCACCAGATTTGACGAATTCTAGCACCAGATTTGGCGAAATCG